CATATCAATGATCTTTCTCTAAAGATGCTGCCAGTTTTTCCGTCAAAAAATGTAAAGCAACTTGTAGCAAAATATATGGATAATATAAAACATTGCACCAGTGTTTCTACTGTAATATGATGTGCCTGTTCCATTGTTAGTGAATCACGATTTTCAGATACTGATGTTACACAGCTGTGTAGCATTGATATACGTGTTATCTAACACGTTGGCAGTCTGTACGAACGTACACTGTCATCACTTATAAATAGATATATTTCATCCGCTTTGTTACATATAAATTGCCACGGGAAAGAAATTAGGCAGCCGAGATTGATGGTGGGTGAAACAAATGTGAAATAGTTTGTTTTGTATTTTATAAGGTATTATAGTTGTGCTCTTGACCTGACGTTTGTGTATTTATTTCAAGTCTAAGCTTTCTTTCGCCCGATAGTTTACATAACGTTTCCTTACGGACCTATGTTGCTCATCGTTTACTGATGTTTTGAATTGAGAACTATCATAATTTAAACTGCTAGACATATCTTTCATTATTCTCTCTCTCTCTCTCTCTCTCTCTCTCTCTCTCTCTCTCTCTCTCTCTCTCTCTCTCTCTCTCTCTCTCTCTCTCTCTCTCTCTCTCTCTCTCTCTCTCTCTCTTTCTTTCTTCTGAATTTGCAATCGTACTACTGACACAATGATCACCTTAGTACAAACGTTAATTTCCCTATACGTTGTATTTCCCTATACGGTGTATTAAAATATGCTGTGCAATGCTACTTTTACTGCCAAGCGTGATATCAAGTGAAACACTTCACGAAGAAAAAAAGACATGACGACAAGGAAGCAAAGTTCACGGTGACCAAACAACAGAACTGATAGAAAATGGTTAAGTTACAAATCTCTCTCGGTAGGTTTTTCTTTGAGCAGTCATACTGTATTTAAATTCGGTACGTTACAACATACAGAAAATTACATTAAAACGAACAACCAACCTTATTATAACCAACTGGCAAATATAACTGACTGTTTTGGTCCCAATCACTAGATGTGTATGTTAGTCGAATTGCGTATTCCGAACTACGGTTATTACGAACTACAGTTTGTGACCGCCTTGGCATTCGTTATAACCGTGTATTTTGGAACACAGTACGTAAAGGAATATAGCATATAAATGCTGTACATTATTTTGTAACTGGTGATGTACTGGTAAGGCAACTGTATGGGTCATGTAGTTACTCATCACCCCCATCATGGATGATCTATGTGACATAACACGGCTTCGTGTTGAATGTATGGCACTGTGCAGAGTTGCGTCCCTTTGGCGTAACAGAAACCTATGATCGAGAGTTCGGAATCCTACTTCAATAGAACCATTCCCATACTCACGGGTGTCAATAAAGTTGTAAACGTCTGCGATCTCTAGCATCAAATGGACACGACGTAACTAGCTGAACTACCGTAAAACTGGCATAAAACACGACTCATTCATTACCGTATGACGCCGCTATTCGAATTAAACGTTGGACTAGTTCTGAAATGGACCTTTGTTATGGATAATGAGCAAACAGAAAAACAATAGAAAACACGTCAAATGAAAAAGAAAATTCGCCAAGTTCTAAATTCAAATTAAGATAGTATGCGTTTATCCTATATTGAGCAGACTCAAGTACGACACGTCACACGCTACACAACAAACACACATTAGATTACACTCCATACCAAAAAAAGGTAAGTGGCCTGTACAATCAAAACACATTTGATCAAAGTATAGTTGAGGAGTGAATAGTGTGAACGATCCGAATTCCAGTTCCAGTTTTCACAGTTGATACGACGCCGGTTTCTATGGTAGCACTCGAGTAACAGTCTGCTTCGTTGGTTTCATTCATTAATTCATTTATACATTATCACATAATTATCAAAAATATCTTAATCAATTCAAATTACCGCTTTTTCTACACATGATCATCGATTCTCTCACCTCATCAACTAAACTTCACTGTTAAAATTCTCACAGTCTCTCGCCTTTTCTTCATCACAAAGTATCCCGTCGGTAATTCGGTGATGCTTCGACTAATATTCCAGATCGTTTCAGGACACAAGTTTTGTATAAATGTAATGTGGTACAGCAGCAGCCTGGCGTGTGTTTTACACTCATTGTACAGGCATCCTCAAAAAGTATATTTTTTGCAATGATTCCTCATACATTTGTTCCTATCACTGGGACATAATATTTTCATCTATTTGAACACATGGCGTCATCCTTTTCTTTGTTGGTGGGGTAGACTAACGCTTAGTCTCTGAATATATATAATTTTGATAGTAACAAATAGACCCATTTAAATTTAAAAGGAGCCCCAGGGAGACCAGAGATTTAGAACCTGAGGAAATCTAGACTTGCTTTATTTAGGGCTTTAGCACTGCAGATAGGGCTTGGCGGTAGGGAAAATAATGTGGTTCAGGGACTGTGAGACACACTGGGGGTAGGGGTATGCCTGGTGCGTTCTTTTTACGTGTGACGTTTAAATCATGTTTTTCGACGTTTTGACGTTGTAATCAAATTCACGTGTTTTATGATTTCAGAAAATTAAGTAGATTCATATGGTCAAGTCTTAATATCTTTGCATGCCATCACTTGCTTGAAAACAGTGTTGGCATCAACACCGTAACGTTGCATGTATTGTAATAAAGATTTGTATACCCATATAACTTTCAACCCTACTTGTCTTACACAAGGCATGTCAATAAGGCATGCCCTGTGAATAAACAAATTATGAACTGAATCCGTCTCAAGTCTGAGTAATTTGGCAAGTCTAGATTTGGATTTTATTTATATTGTTTAGATGTATGTATTTAAATACGATAACGATAATTCCGGGACTAAATATTGTCGCAGGGTACACAGTTGACCCTTGTGTGTGTGTGTGTGTGACCTAATTACAATAACACCAATACGGGTATTAGTCAAGATCAAGAGTTTTACAATACAAACGTGCGTGCAAGCAGTTCTCAAGCCAGTAATACCGTAATATGATACTGGTGCATTGTTAAGAACAATGCGATATGACGTCTAACATATGTTCATAGGGTCACAGAATCATACATTTACGTCATGAAGGATACGTTGATTCATTGAATGACCTCTGTGCACATTATGTCACTACAGGTTTTTTTGAAAAGGTAATGCATGAAGAACATTATTTTTAGTTATATACATTATATAGTTTATTTCAGTCATATCCATAAGGTGGTTAAACGCTTTGTAGCATCTGCCTGTGTGTGTGTGTGCGTGCGTGCGTGCGTGCGTGTGTGCGTGCGTATGTGAGTGAGAGATTTTTCAGGGGGTCACCCATTTTGTTCTGGGAGCGGGGGCAGCAATTTTTACACACGTACTAGGAGGGGAGCAGCAATAACAATATGTTTAAAATTATGCTTAGAAATAATGGAAAGGGGAGGGGTTTTGACTGATTTTGTACATGACATGCAGGGGGTCATTTATTTTGTACATAACTGTTCGAGGGGTGTGGAGTCATTCACATTGTACATGCTTCTCCATGAAAATCATTATCACCCTCCCCACTAGCCATAAATTATGAACGGTCCCTTACTCGCTTGTGCACCAGTGCAAAATACATCAAGCGCACTTAATCCAGACGGGATTGTTCACGTCATTGGAATCTCATTGTGACGTTAAATAGGAATGACGTCACACTAGGATTAATTGTGGTTTTCTTAGACTACGGTTGTTATCAGTGCATGTTCCTAAAGGGGAGGTCAAGAGGACAGGAAATCGTGGGTAATAAATGCTTCCACTCTTGTACGTGTGTGTCATACGGATTTTACGAAACTTGTATGTAAATTCCTGTATTACTCACGCTCTCGCTCGGGAAATATAAGACTTCTTTCTTTCTTTTCGAAGTCGTTTCAGTTTGTGAATCATCTCTAGCCATGTCTGTCCATAGTATTGTCATAACAGCTTTGGTAATGTTGTCTTCGACATGCCCCATATATACGCTAATTAAGACTTATCAATGTAATGCTTTCATTACATGTCTATTAAAATTGATTTACTTATCTCAAAATTGACATATGCTTCCTCTTTTGCTCAACTGATCTATTATTCCATTAATGGTTAATGTCACATAATCAGCATCAATATATTTGATAACAGCTAAAAGATAAGATTGTTAACTCTTAATTCTCTAGAGTTAACATTATTCTTGTGGGTTAAGAAGCTTTAGCTTCATTGGACAATTCTACTGTAACAAAAGGTAAATTCCCTTTGTAAAATAATGGTGGGGGTAATAGAGGCGGGGAAAAGGGATGTGGTGGTGGGGGATTTTGGGATACAATCCTCAGATGGCGAACTTCTTTCACTTACTACATTTCACTGCTTGGGGTACACACTAACCTACTCGACATTAGCAATGGCGGATACCACATTAGTAGTGACGGATTATCATGCATGTAATCAGCATAGGTTAGCGTAAGCGAGATCGTTCAAATAAACACAGTTTGTTAAGTATATCTATCCGTTCTGCCTTCAGGGCTTCATTGTCGATAACTATGCGGCCAATCAGAAAGGTCACGTACACTGATTATGCACGTGTGCTTATTGTTATCACCATTCAGATAACACGATGTAACCGTTTGATATTTAATTATTTAATGTCGAATTATTTTGGTGTTTTGAAGTTTGACATTTAACTTCACGTGACGAGTACAGGTAGCTTCCTGTTTGGGTGTATTTTAATTTATGACACTGCCACGTTGTACACTTTCCGTCTTTGTTGTCACGTACACAGTATATTTCCCTTGTTAAACTTTCCATGCTTCAAACACACTCACAATAGAAAAGCTGTTCATGAGAGAGACTGTCACCGACAACCTGTTCGCTGCCTACATTACGACACGAAGGGTCAAAGGTCAACAAGTCCCTCAAGCGAAACTGGAGCAGTGTCATTTCAACCAGCCAGCCATTGTGGTGGACGAGAATATTACAAACTGCGCACATTACTCACCTCTAGTGTTGAATCATCTTCGAAATGAAACAGAATCTGTCAAACACGTTGTTTTCAATTCAAGTCAAATACACGCTCGGTGGATACGCCCCCTTACAGCGGATATAATCCTTCCGAGTTGTTTGACAAATATAAACCGTTGATGTACAACCCAGTTGAATGTTCCACGTTCCCCCACGACCCTCTTACTCAGTCATCCATTGAATCAGTAATTCTGTTGCTGAAGGCTGAAGTTATTACACACACGAGCAGACGTGAATATCAACTGGACTTCATTCCTACAATAGCTCCCCCTAGCGGTAGACGAACGCTTCGGCAAGCTATCCGCTGTATGCTGTAACACAGCAATGAAAATGATACCTTAGTATAGGTGTGATCGATAGACTTGGAGTACCGATAGAGTCACATTACAATGTGGTATAACTAACCTATCCACTTATTCCCAGTAATAAGAGTCAACATTCGGAAATCCTTTTCCTACTTTTATTACAATTATCAGAATCCGCAATTTCTACGAAATGGGATATTTAATCATAGATTTCCAAATGTAAACTTGCACAGAATTTCGTTTTTATTGATGAATTATTTCACTGTGAGTGAATAGTATTGAACGAAGTAGATTAATAAATCATATTATATTATATTATCACTTTACTCGTTAATAGAAAATTTTAAAATGTCAGGTTTTACTATTAATAAACAACCATTGTTCACCTTAGGCAAAAGTGAGTTTGTTCATAAATTGCCTCTGTTCACCCAGCAGAAAATGGGTACCCGGTGGGATAAGTTATGTGACTATTAACCTTCTAGCACCTATCAAGCCGCTTGGGTTATCCGGGGTAATAAATAGTATTTTATCGCTTTGAGCATGTGCCTTGTACATGGAAAAGGCGCATTATAAATTTACATTTATTATTATCATTATTATTATTGCTTATCAGACATGGTAGTGAAAACGTCCCAGTGCTGTTGTATCCAGTATGTGTACCTCTTTTATGATATAGGCGTTATGTATACACCCACTCAGTACTCAACACTCACCAGCTGGTATGATGAAGGTCGGTGAGATTAACTACAAAGAGCCTCAGCAAGTCTACAGTCTATCGGATGATCACGAGTAGTGTAGGGTGTATTGGTTGGATGGCGTAAACGGGCTATTTCACTCGAGATAATATTACATGCTAAATATTGTGGTATTCACCACGCAGTGTCTTATTACATAGGTCAGTGGCAGTGTCACCTGATGGTCCCGTAAATAGCTGATGAGTTACGTGGCCTCATCACTCTACTTATGAACGATCTACCAGCATCGCTTAGATACAATGATTCTGCTTTAGTGGAACGTGGTGATCCTGTGTAAAAGTCGTCTAAATTTGTAAATGAAGTTGAAGTGTTAATGTGGATTTTAGTTATAACACGGAATATGATCACATTGGTGTATAATCAGAACTATTACAGATGTGTCATACCGATCTGCAGTCAGTAATATTACAGATGTGTCATACCGATCTGCAGTCAGTAATATTACAGATGTGTCATACTGATCTGCAGTCAGTAATATTACAGGTGTGTCATACCGATCTACAGTCAGTAATATTACAGATGTGTCATACCGATCTGCAGTAGTAATATTACAGATGTGTCATACTGATCTGCAGTCAGTAATATCACAGATGTGTCATACTGATCTGCAGTCAGTAATATCACAGATGTGTCATACTGATCAGCAGTACTAATATTACAGATATATCTTACTGATCTGCAGTCAGTACTATTACAAATGTGTCATACTAATCTGCAGTAGTAATATTACCGATGTGACATACTGATCTGCAGTCAGTAATATCACAGATGTATCTTAATGATCTGCAGTCAGTACTATTACAGATGTGTCATACCGATCAGCAGTCAGTAATATTACAGATGTGTCATACTGATCTGCAGTCAGTAATATCACAGATGTGTCATACTAATCTGCAGTAGTAATATTATAGATGTATCTTACTGATCTGCAGTCAGTCCCATTACAGATGTGTCATACTGATCTGCAGTCAGTAATATCACAGATGTGTCATACTGATCAGCAGTACTTATATTACAGATATATCTTACTGATCTGCAGTCAGTACTATTACAGATGTGTCATACTGATCTGCAGTCAGTACTATTACAGATGTGACATGCTGATCTGCAGTCAGTAATATCACAGATGTGTCATACTAATCTGCAGTCAGTACTATTACAGATGTGACATACTGATCTGCAGTCAGTACCATTACAGATGTGTCATACTGATCTGCAGCCAGTAACAGTACAGATTTGTCATAAGCATCTGCAATCAGTAATGTTACCTTTGTAATCGGTAGTGTTTCAACATTAATCACCTTCGTATGTAATCAGTAATATTACAGCCATATCACATAAGCCTGTAATAAGTAATATTACAGATATAAGATTCTTGTATGTAATCAGTAATATTACAGTCATATCACACAAGCCTGTAATAAGTAATATTACAGATATTAGATTCTGGTATGTAATCAGTAATATTACAGCCATATCACATAAGCCTGTAATAAGTAATATTACAGATATAAGATTCTGGTATGTAATCAGTATTATGCAAGCATATTTTTCCGGCTACCTGATTGGTCTAGAGGCGGTCACGTGACCGTCGACAGAAAATCATATTGACTCCAACCCAGGTCCGACCAAAAGTCATATTGACCTGAGTTACTATGACGTCAAGCTATGACGTCATTCACGTCAAGCTATGACGTCATTCTATTGTTTACATGTCACAGTATTGTTGACATAACGTTATTGGTTTGTAGTGAAAATAAAATTACTTTTTTGACTAAATGGACATGTTTTGGATTTTAGAAGCTTTTTTCGGTAATTACATAATAAAACAATTATAGACTGGCGAAATTCGGTCAATACCTGTTTTTATGGACCCGCGAAAAGCAATATTGACCTCGTACCTCGTCATCGGTCAATATTGTTTTTCGCTGGACCATAAAAACAGGTATTGTCCTCATCATCAGTCTATAATTGTATAATATTCTGTCATCAGCAATATTATAGCTATATCACACTGGCTGTAATAAGCAATATTATAGCTATATCACACTGGTTTGTAATCAGCAATATTATAGCTATATCACACTGGTCTGTAATCAGCAATATTATATATCTATATCACACTGGTCTGTAATCAGCAATATTATAGCTATATCACACTGTCTGTAATCAGCAATATTATAGCTATATCATTCTGGCTGTAATCAGCAATATTATAGCTATATCACACTGGTCTGTCATCAGCAATATTCTAGCTATATCACACTGTCTGTAATCAGCAATATTATAGCTATATCATACTGGTCTGTAATCAGCAATATTATATATCTATATCACACTGGTCTGTAATCAGCAATATTATAGCTATATCACAGTGGTCTGTAATCAGCAATATTAAATATCTATATCACACTGTTCTGTAATCAGCAATATTATAGCTATATCACACTGGCTGTAATCAGCAATATTATAGCTATATCACACTGTCTGTAATCAGCAATATTATAGCTATATCACACTGTCTGTAATCAGCAATATAATAGCTATATCATACTGGTCTGTAATCAGCAATATTATATATCTATATCACACTGGTCTGTAATCAGCAATATTATAGCTATATCACACTGGTCTGTAATCAGCAATATTAAATATCTATATCACACTGTTCTGTAATCAGCAATATTATAGCTATATATCACTGGCTGTAATCAGCAATATTATAGCTATATCAGCAATATTATAGCTATATCACACTGGCTGTAATCAGCAATATTATAGCTATATCACACTGGTCTGTCATCAGCAGTATTATAGCTATATCACACTGGCTGTAATCAGCAATATTATAGCTATATCACACTGGTCTGTCATCAGCAATATTATAGCTATATCACACTGGCTGTAATCAGCAATATTATAGCTATATCACACTGGTCTGTCATCAGCAGTATATCAATACTGGCTATATCACACTGGCTGTAATCAGCAATATTATAGCTATATCACACTGGTCTGTCATCAGCAGTATTATAGCTATATCACACTGGCTGTAATCAGCAATATTATAGCTATATCACACTGGTCTGTCATCAGCAGTATTATAGCTATATCACACTGGCTGTAATCAGCAATATTATAGCTATATGCCTTTGTGGCCTTGAAATGAAGGTCAAGGTCACCAAGCCTGACTTTGACCTTTCTTATAATGTGATGAACCTAGATACCAAATATGAAAAGAATCTAGAGAACGGTTCTTAAGATATTCCAATTCGTACGTACGGACGGACGTACGGACGGACGAACGGACCTAATACTATATCCCCGCTTCGCGCTAAACGAGCGGCGGGGATAAAAGATGTTTGGGAATATCTTCGCATGATGTTAAACATAACAAGCGTCATAAAACAAGTTATTGAAGAAGACAAGAACGTATAACTGATTGGAAAGGAACACATGAAAGTACAAATATTCCTGTATTAATCCCAGACTTTTACCCACAGTGCAACACAAAAGTAGGAAGAGACCTGGAAAAGGATACAGGAACAATAGTACTTTTCCGTGTTCCCTTATTTATTTCCATCAGTATATATGAGCATCACGGAAAATATTTCTTTGCTGGAGTCCAAACACATTTCCTGTTTATGACTCATTATAGAGCATTGTCACACAGTGGTAACTAGTCCATAGGTTGCATATAGTGGAAAGCAGTCCACAGGTTGAATATAGAATTGTGCATTTATCAGAAATTGCCTCTTTCTTTGAATACATGATTGTGTGAACAAATTCGGGGTAATCTGAAATATGGTTTTATAATCTTCGTCTTTAAAGCAGTAGAAGGTGTTGGGGTACCCAAATGGTTAGAAGCATCCGCTCGTCACGCTGAAGACCGGGTTCGATAACGTGACGAGACTGGTAACTATTGTCAGTTGAGTGTCATTATCGTCACCCTCTGTCAATATGGTCAATATATGTCAACATGGTCACGACCATGTGTCAGTTTAGTGTCATTGTCGTCACCCTCTCGTCAATATCACCAATTTATGTCAATAGGGTCACCACCATGTGTCAGTTTAGTGTCATTATCGTGCCCCCGTCAATATAGTCAATTTATGTCAATATGATCACCACCATATGTCAATGTCGGCAATTTATGCCAATATTGTCACAGTGTAAATATCATCAACTTATGTCAATATCTTTACGACATGTCAGTATCATAACACTCTGAAAAGCGATTATTGTTTAAGTTTTTCTGGGACAG